GCCGGGCCTGGAGCGCTGGAGCAAGCCCTTGCCTACAGCCAGCACTGCCGCGGCGGGGCCCGGGCGAGCTGCCGCTGGGGGAAGGCTCCTGCGGGCCAGAAAGGTTGAGAACGGGAGTTTTAAATAAGCGGGAGGTTGGCTGCTTTTTTTAGTGCAGCCTTGCTGGACAGATGATCTGTCATCTGTCAGCAAATCCTGCCAGCACATCTTCAGCAATAACTGCCAGCACATCCTCTGGTTGTTAGAGGATTATCCTTTGTAGAAGCATGCTGGTAGTTAAAATAACAGCCTTCCTTTCATTTCAGTTCATTCCTTTGTTTTCCTACCTTAGAAAGCAGCAGATGGCTTTCCTGCAGGACTAGGCCTTGAGGCTTCCCGCAGGGCTGCAGTTCACTGTCCACTGAATCTTGTGGGCACCGGGGTCAAGGAGGGAAAGCACTCATCTGAAGCATTTTGAAAGACTTTCTTCATTATCCTTCCTGAAAAAAATGAAGTCAGATGTGCTAAGTGTTGTCAGTCGTCATGATGGCTTGCAATCATTAAAGGATTTTAAACGCAATACGTAATACAGCTAAATAAAGCTGGTTTCTCATTAAAAAAGAGATGATGTTTGAGATCTGTCTGATCTTCAGATTGGTAATCTGCCTTTAAAACTCTACAGCTGGCAGTAAATGGAGGGGGAAGAAGTCTTTTTCCCGCTGACTGGCAGACCAGCAAATTCCCCAGATGGAAGCTATACTGCTATCTGTGTTTATCAGAATAGCAGCAACTGGCCTAATCTTGCTGTGCTGCTGTCACTGGTAGGCTGTGACAGAACCTGTGAGTGTGAAGTAGAAGCCTTTTCCCTGAATACTGCAAGGAAAATCAGTTCTAGCACTGCTTTTAACATGAACAGATATTTAATTTATGACAGAGCACATATATGGAGATGACACATTGGAAGCATTACTTGTGAGAGATGCATATACAAAAGCACTGGGGTGCCTATTCACTTTTCCAGCTTCCTGTCCAACTAATTGCTCTTTCCCGGTAGACATGAATTACTCTCGATTCATCACCACTGTGAGTGCATCAAGAAAAGCATCTCCGATAAGGCTTCTGAGTGAGTATATGCCTGTTCTTTCCAGGTTCTCTGGAAGGGTGTAATTCTACATTCTGGGCTTTGCTGGGGTACCACGGCTAACGACTTGAAAAGGGCTTGCGAGAAAACTGCTGTAAGCCGATAAGGGAGGCCAGTTAACTGCTTGGACTTCTGTCAAGTTGAGATGACAAGCAGGTATAAAGAATAAAGCCTTGAACCATTTCAGAAATCCATCCAGAGAGACAAAATTGTATTGTCACTTCAGCATATCTGAAAAAACATTGCTACTGCCTCTGACGCAGGGCTGTTGGCACAGTTCGCTACTGACTTTATGCTGGTTGTCCAGAGCCATGCAGCAACTAATGACTTAAAATTCAGTCCCAGCATAAAACTTCTTTCCACCTAGCTTTCCTGTATTCTGTTAATGACCATAAATTCCTTACTGCTCCACCCCCTCAGTGTTACTACACTTTCCATTTCTTTATTATGCTCTCTTTAGGTTACCATGTTACATAGTCTTCTGTATGACGGACAGGAAAGGTTAACTGCCTACTTGTTTACTCAGTTGAAACCTCCAGGGACCTGACAAAATCAGAGCATGAGACATACATCACGACTTAAGCCCTCAGGGGTCAATTTCCTCTCTGGGTAGGGGGTTGGCATTTGCTGTTCTGCTTAAAAGTCTGCATACAGGTACAGCTAAGTCAGCTAATTCGCTGTCATCTCTATACGTTTTCAAGTGATACATTGATATGCATCATAACACAAATATGAAGTAGCACAGCTTGTGCAGAAGGACACACTGAGGTTGCAGTTCTGATGACAAAGTAAATCTCTCTTTATCAGGCCAAAAGTCACAGACATGACCCATATTGCTGAATTGGTAAAAATTAACTCCCCATGCTCACGTCTTCTAGTAAGTAGTGGAGAATAAACTTGATAACACGAGGCTTTAAGCCAGGTCTGGTGTCATCTGTCCTCTCGCATCTGATGTAAAACTGCCAACGCAGTTTGCCAGAATGCCATATTGTGAGCTCTTATATTTAATGCAGTCACGTGCCCTTGCTGGATTAAGGTCCAGTCTGTGCTGCGTAGATTGGATCTGAATGATTGTGCAACTGTGACTTCAAAGCAGGAGTTGTTAACATTTTCTTCATACTGAACTATTTACACACAGCGCCTCTGCCACTAAAGCTGGGCTGCCAGAAGCATTCCCACTCCCTTATAGAAAAGCTGTAATCATAGATTTAACTGTCAGTGTAGCTGCGCTACTGTCACACCAGCTAAAGTGAGACTGAGCAAAAACCAAAGCCAGTTGTTCCAAGTCAGTCTAAACAGAAGATCATGGAGATTTTAATTTCTTGAAGCTTAAAAGACATCTGTTGCATCAGAAGTTTTAATAATAGTAGAACAGTACAGATAAGATAAAGCTATTTATAATTAATTTTAAACCAGACATGATTATTTTCTTTTGGTCTGTATCAGCCATGTCTTCCCCATTTACTCTGAGTAGACAGGTGAGTTTAAGAAAGAATTATCAACTTTTTGAACTCATGACAGTTAAAAAAATACAATGAAACGTGGAACAAGCTTCTCTGGACCGCTATTACATACTGACTAAAGAATATGATCAGTGTTGCAATGATCATGTTGTAATCAAGGTTTTTTCCTTTCACTCCAGCTGAATTGATGCAGAAGTCTCCTCCATCTCTCATCTCTCTGGCTGGAGGAGCACCAAACCCTAATGTTTTTCCATTTAAGAGGGCTACAGTCACCATTGGACATGGAACTGCTGTTGAGATTGGGGAAGATTTGATGAAGAGAGCTCTCCAGTACTCAGCCTCAGCAGGGTATCTGTCACAGCTGCTTGCTCTTTAAGATACCAGAATCAAAGGATCTTAAAATCCATTAATTCACCTGTGATTTTAAAACCTGCTTGTAAAGCCTGTTTTACCAAACCAGGTTTAACTCTTCCAATTTGCCTCACTATTTACATTTCAGTGTAAGTGGGAAGTTTTGAGCAAATGAGTAATTTAAAAAAAAAAAAAACACTCATGTAAGTAATCCTCAAGCCACAGCATTTCCTGGCTGCTAGTATTTGAGAATCCAGACTCCCAGATCACCAGGAGGAATCATTTTGTGCTGTGCAATAAGATACTCATTAAAAGATACTCCATTGCGTACATAGCTTCCACACTGTGCAGTATTTGTTCTGCTTTCATTTAGTACCAGATATTAAAGTCAGTGTGTACTGCTTGTGGTAGAAGAATGGAGGTATTTATAGTATTGTCACCTTTAGTTAAAAAATTGCATGTCATTAAGTTACTTTAGCACTCATGAACTTCCCAGCAGACAACACTGAGTCAGGCTTGTGACAGGCTTGCAAAAATATTTAGGTACCTGCCAAGACACACAGAGCATTAATCATTGAAGTTAAGACTTTTCTTAATATTTAAATCAATCACCCATTTGTGAACATCCTACGAGATGTTAAGACGTATTTTTGGAAAAAAATCTGTTTCAGAAATCCTTATTATCTGCAGCCTGTTAATAGCAGTGTTGCGAGCTCTGTCACGTTGCCACATTTGAGTATGGACAGATCACCCCTAGGAGTGGGTATTGTTCAGCTTCCACCCCTATTCCTTCCTGACAAATAATTTCCACACAGATTTCAGTATACTTGGTGTATGGATGCCTGTCTCCTCTGCTTTTCCATAAGACATACTGATCTCATTGTCATCATTCAGTAAAGCAGTCAGAATCAACAACGCAGTGTATCTGTGTGACAGCTGAAAGCAGATGCAGTACTGTGTGCTACATCTGGCAGTGATTCAGAGGAAGGGCCTAGCTCTGGCCTATTTAAGATGTTTGATACACCTTATTCATGTTTCAGGATTCCAGAGCTGTTGTCTTGGCTAAAGGATTTCCAACGGAATCTACATAATCCTCCCACAGCCGACTACAGTCCTACGCAAGGACAAATGGAAGTGTGTGTCACAACTGGCAGCCAAGAAGGCTTGTGTAAAGTAAGACCGAAAGCTCCATATGTGAAAAGCATTTCTTCCAGAGAGCTCTTTTTTTTCCATCAGTTCAGTTATACTCAGCATTAAGTGCCACTGTATAACTATATGCAGGGTCATTTGTTAAATATATTTCTTGTTATTATCAATGCAGTATAATAGAACTGAAATAAGACTGGTGCACAGTCTGATTTGTCAGGGTGCATGAACGTTTGGGTAAACCAAAGAGCCTGTAAGAAAATGTGCTTTAGTGTAACGTTTCATGTTTCTCAAGTACTGAAGTAATAAGTACATAGGTGCATGATCTGTTTTGCAATAACTCCATTCTCATTATGTTAGACTTCCTTAAATAATTACCCTTTCCAGTTCACTCTCACTGCTGCTTAGTTGATCCTTTCTGAAACCAAAGCACTGTTGCTTCTGTATAATGGAGCGCTGTCTTTCCATTTCAAAGTGCCATTCTCTAGCTGATTACCTAGTTTCATTTGGCTGAAATTCATATCTGTTCACCGCTTTTTCTCAGACTGCATAATTAAAGGGTTAGGGAATTACTAATATCAAGATTTTTAACCCCTCTAAGAAGTCAGAAGTATGTGTACAAGAATGGCAGTGTCTTTCTATAATACTCTTTCCTTTTGCAGGTGTTTGAAATGCTCGTTAATCCTGGGGACAACATCCTTTTGGATGCACCTACATACTCTGGGACACTGGCAGCTGTAAGTATTTTTTAGCTATTGTGAATGTCACATTTGAAATATACCTGATCTGCAGGTTTATATAAATTGTGTTCGCTGTAAAAACATCCAAGAATCAAGCTGTTAGTGTTAGGTAAGTTTGTAAGTATCAATTCATAGAAGCATTTCTACTGAAAAGTTATTTCCAGGACGGAAGTTCCTCTTCCAAATCCTAGTTGGTTCAAGGGATAAGGTCACATTTGGGGTTGCAAAGAAAGCCATCATAACCTAGTCAGCTTGAAGCAAACTCACCTGAAGTATTTTGTGGTCTGATTATACCATAGCTATAAATACTATAAAATTTGAATAAGCCTGAAACATCATATGAGTACGAAGATGCTAGTTAGTAAGGGCTACACAGAAGTAGCAAAGTTTACTTCTGAAAAGTGATTTAATCAGTATGTAATTAAAAGTCAGCTCAACATGCATAAGAACTGTAAGAAGGGTTAGGATAGATAATACACCACAATTTCAGTCTAGTCTCCTCTTGCTTCAAAAGGACTTTTTTAATTGTTTGCTGTGTGGGTGTATCTTGTCTAATCCAATATACTTTATTAGGGATATATTTTGACAGTGCAGCAACTTGCATTTTTCCTTCAAAAAATGCAGAGCGCGACATGGTGCAAATTGAAATTCCGCAGAGGGGAGACAGCATGCTTTTTTTGTGAGCGTTTTACCTATTTTTTTCATGCTGCTGTCAACATGTCATTGCAGTAGGATCATTTCATTCTCCCATGTATTGCTGAATATATCTGTTGACAACAGATTCTTTGCCCTTTGTGAAGAGTGGCTTACAGTTCTGGCACTTTCACTGAAATAGAGTGTAAATTGTCAGCAAGAAATAAAGGTGCTATGAACGTACTGTCTGTGGTAAGAGCATGAGGAGTCCTGAGAGAATACAGTTCACATTCACAAAAATCCCCTTCTGCTTGCAAAACTATGTGTGATTTCCTAGGGAAGAGCAGCAGTCGGTCATGGGAGCTATCTGTTTCTTCTCAGTTGACTTAACAGGGCAAATAAGAGTTTTGTGGTGAGTTTGACAAGTTTCACAGCAAATTCAGGCAAACTTTCTATTGAATTATGTTTGACATTATAGCTATAAAGTCAGACTTTGTATCACTGAAATTCTGCAGTGCCAATGCCAAAAGTAAGACCTTTGAATTGCAGGATTATGACAGTTTGTTTTCCTCCTATCAACAGCTGAGACCCTTGGGTTGTAACATAATTAATGTTCCTAGTGACCACCATGGCATTATTCCAAAAGCTTTAAAAGAAATTCTGTCTTCTTGGAGCTCAGAAGATGTAAAAAATCGTAGCCACCACCTCCCCAAATTCCTGTACACTATTCCAAATGGCTGCAACCCAACTGGAAACTCTCTCACCACAGAGCGCAAGAAAGAGATTTACCAGGTATGTACCTGGGGCCTCGTGAGCCTTGTAGGTGGAAATGGGTGTCAGTCTTGTTTCAGTTGAGGATACCTCGCGGCATTTGGGCCATTATTGGTCCAGTAGACCTACCTCCTAGAACTCGTTTCTAACAGAAGCTCTTTCATGGCAGTTCTTCAGAGGTGGACTATGCATGAGATAAAATGTTGTTGTAATAGTAGTACATCGCTGGCTGGTATCTTTGCTTCAAAATGGATATATTGCAAGTTTTCTTCACAGTTTGAACGCTACGTGGAACATGTGTCCTTGTACCGCAGGCAGCATGTGCACTCTTATAAGTTACTTGATGTCTAAATTGGGCATTTGCAAGTTTTTCGTCACTGGGCCTTGTACATAGTGAATGAGCAATCCACAGGGTCATAATATATAGTCCTGGTAATAGGTAATAGTTCAGGAAGAACTGAATGTAGAGTGCCATTACATTTTAATCAATCTTTGCTTTTCATTCATTTCTTTAGCTTGCAAGAAAATATGATTTCCTCATAATAGAAGATGACCCTTACTACTTTCTTCAGTTTGAAAAGGTAATTTGTCCTCCGTACCCCTTAGTAACACATTCTTTTGTAATCCAGGAGAGAACTAAGATTTGAGCCATTGGTCTTCCTGTGTGCTCCATCTTCATGTCATACCAAGGTAGCTGTAAGGCCTAACAGCCTATGGTACTTTCAGTTGTCCCCTTTGTGACATTTTATTGCATCAGTCCTGTCAATTGGTGGTTCACATTCCTCAGGCCTTATCCAGGACAGAACAGTAGTCAGAAAATGGCAAAGATTTAGCCACCAGAGCAAAAAGTACACCACTGAAGCAACACTTGAAACTGGCAGCCTCAAGTTCTTTTTAGCCCAGTCTCTTCTTTCATTCAGTGGAAGACTGCCTACTCCCAGTCTACTACACACTGCTTTTACCCCTTTGTCTTTTGGAGAACCCAAGAGTTCTCTCAGATACTGCAGGACATAGTACTGGATAGGCAGCTTCCCTCCTCACGTAGATTTTCCCCACATGGGTGACAATCAAAGCATCTCCACGTGTATCTACGGTTGCACAGTCTGCAGAAGTTGCTAACTTCAGGACTAAAGCTGATCTTCTAAAGCAGTAAAATACTGGTAGAAGGGGAAGTTCAGTATTCTCTGTTTTGAAGTGTGTTATGGGGCGAGGCAATAAACCTCCTTCACTTACTCATTGAAGAGCATCATGTAGCTTTGTTAGAGAGTGTAAGAGGAGACGGTGTAAAAGTAGCATTCCTGATAGGGGAAAATCATGCTGAACTCGGATCAAAATTTAGTCATATTTTTTGATTTCCTTTTAAGCTACAGGCCCCATCTTAGAAATTACAGTAACTTTCTATTTGTTCCATAAAAAAGGTCTTGTCAGAGGCGTCATCACTTCTCTCCTACTTACGGCATCATACCAAACCTTGAACTGAACAGTTGTATGCTGAACAGAGGGCTGAGTATCAAAAAATGACAAGGCTGGTTTCTTGATGTCTTTCACAGAATGCTGTAATCACATCTCAGACAACTAGCCTAAACAATCACTTGTCGGCAAGTTAGTGCATTTTTTTTTTCCCTTGGAATGCATAATGTGATAAAATAGTCTCAAAATATTTCTTTAAGAAATGAATTATGTCTTCATAGTAAAGAAAATACTTCCATCATAATCCTTACTAGCACCTTGAATTTTATTTTTTATTTTTCTTCCAAGCCATGGGCTCCAACTTTCCTCTCAATGGATGTGGATGGCCGAGTTATCAGGACTGACTCTTTCTCTAAAATCCTCTCTTCTGGGTAAGGCCAGCTTCAGACTGCTCAGCACTGCTTGTTCAGTTAAGGCACGAGACTAATACTTCATACAAAATGATCAGACCTGTCATACTGTTTTTTCATCTAACACCTATCCATTTCTGGAATCTTCTTTTGGATCCACAGTTTTTCTTAGTCTGCTCACTTTTCATGTCATCTCTTGGCAGCCATTTAACTCCAGATTCTATTTCTCTTCTGATACCAATAGTTAAGCCATGCCCCAGGCCACCCATTCTTGCAGATACCATACGGGCAGAAAGTTGTTTTCCAGCTCTGTTCCTGGGACTCCTAGGAGCTTTCTCTCTCCTTTTTCTATTTCTTCTATCTCTTACCATTCCTGCAGACTCCCTAAATTTGTAATACAGAAGGGAAATGAAGGCATCATTCTGCACAAACTGTTCATAGGATTATACTGATCTCTTGTCTTATAGCCTTGCGTTTCTTTCACATTGGTTCCACCTGCCTGAAAAACTAAGCTGGCTGTTTTGCATGTCACACAAGTCAATATATTTGATTTTTAACTTGCTTTGTGTAATATTCTAACAGATATAAGGAAGTAATATGAATTCTGCACTCGCAGCTAGTGGATTATAACCCCATCCCTGAGAAAGGGAGGAGACAACAGGGTGCTAAGGGTGACTGCACTTTCAGAAGCGACACTGCAAAAAGAAACGATGCAATTTGATCTTTGTCAGACACATATGAGCTTACTGGTTCTGTTTTTCTTCAGAGAAAAACTTTGGCCAGGCTGTAAAGATGGGTCATAAGTATTGAAGCATGAGTGACGTTTTCTCAGCCTGAATTACATTTATTCTGCAGTACTGAAAGGGAGTGAGAGAGTAAAGCTATTTGCTGCTTCCCATCTGTTTTTCATAAAGCCAGAGCATTTATGGTTTTTCATGATGTGAAAACCTGCCTTTCCTTCCCTTTCCTTCATGTAATCTTTGTGATTGCAGAGGAAAGCGTATAAACATGGGGCATCTCCTGAAGTCGCAGAACTCAGAAGCAACTATAAGCATTGAAAACCCTTAAACGTTTTTGTTTTGTGGCTCTGGTACTCAGCTTATAAGTTGCATAAACCTGGTGCTTAGGGCAGTATTAAAGTATAGATAAGCTTAAATGCATAAAAGATCATTACAGTGTCAATGAAATGGTTACAGGTTTTCACAGTTACAAGTTAAACCGTAACTCTCACAAAGTATTAAGACATTGCATTTCTGTAGTAACTTTTTTTCTTTTTCTCTAGGTTAAGAATAGGTTTTCTGACAGGTCCCAAGCCTCTCATCGACAGAGTAATTCTACACATTCAGGTTTCAACAATGCACACCAGCACTTTCACACAGGCAAGTACCAAGCTGCCAACTGAATTGTATTTAGAGAAGATAACCTATTCCAAGTCATAAGAAACCAAAACCAAACAGCTTAGCACATTTGCAGTTCTGTTGTTAATAAGCACCTACGTTGCTTGTTCTGCCAAAGGAAGAGAGACCACCATGGGAATTACAGCCAGAGCTAGAGGCTGTCTCAGTGCATGGCAAGCACAGCTAACATGCTCTTAACCCTCACGTCTGGAGGATCGAGGTGTAAAGTACTCTGTACCTCTTGCTAGTAGGTTCACTTGAAAAACATCAAAGTAAAGTGTGCATTGGATGCACGTAGGTTTTTTCTGTTCATTCCAGAATGAAACAGGCAGCCCACAGAGACATTACAAAGCAGGCTGCCAGCTACAGTCGCTTTGTCGTTCGTAATAAGGGAAGGAGACATAAGCACATCTAAATGTGGCTTCCATCTTCCACCTCCATTAGTTCATCATAGAGGCAGTATTAAAGCAGAGAGGTTGATATGGGCGGGAGGGTAAAGAAATACAACATTGCCTTCCCTTTTTGTCCTGACTACCATATTTATCCATCCATCCATCCATATCTTCCCTGCCCCCACCCCAGCTTCCAAACACTGCCACGATCCCTGGAGACAATGGTAACAGGGAGTACAGTGGCCTGTTGCTGTTGGCACCTCTGTTTGTAAAGGGTTTCAAGAGACCCCGCTCTGGGGTTTCTTGCCTGTGTGGAATTTTGAATAATGCTGTATGTCTTTTGATGACTCTGGAACAGTCTTGTTTAAAATACGGTATTGATGATGTGTTTTATTTCTTTAGATTATGATATCACAGCTTCTTCAGCAATGGGGAGAAAAGGGTTTCTTGGAGCATATAGACAGGTAGGGTCATGTCATACGGGATGCAGGGATCCAGGCAGGGCGGTTGGCAGAGGTGGCAGGGTATAGGGGGTCAGTGCAGGGTGCAGGAGGTCTGGATGGGATGCAGAGGTCCAGGCACAGTGTAGGGAGTCTGTCTGGGGTGCAGGGGGTTGGCAGGGATGCAGAGGTCCAGGCAGGGTGCAGGGGTCCAGGCAGGGTGCAGGGAGTCTGGCTGGGGTGCAGGGGTCCAGGCAGGGTGTAGGGAGTCTGGCTGGGGTGCAGGGGGTTGGCAGAGGTGCAGAGGTCCAGGCAGGGTGGAGAACATCATCTGTCATTCTGCTCCTTGTTACCGTCACAAAATGTTCTTAGCAGTAAAGGGGTCAGAGTAGGTGCATCCATATTAGGCCAGATGGATAAGCCAGGTGACCAAGAGTGACAGTATTCACACAAGAGTCCGGAAGGAGCTCTGCGTGAAGTTGCAGACATGCAGGTCTGGGATGTAACTACTGCAGGCCAGCAATCTGCCGGTCCTCTGGCACAGCCATCACGCAGCTCCCATCTGAAGGGAACTCACCTGACATCAGTGAGCCCAACAGCTGACCACTCTTTTCCGGGTGATTTCATTTGGACAAGGTTGGCTCATTAGATCATGCTGTTGAGAGGGAGCTAGCCTGTTGTTTGGAGCAGCTACATTTTTGTGGAAGTCTTATGTCACTGTTTCATTCCAACATGAATGTAAAATGACAACAGAAAAGCAAAAACTTGCAACAGAATTTGTGATGTGGTAAAAACGGCGTAAGTGAAATTATACCATTTCATGCAGAATGTAGCAACTGGTATAGGCCGAGTCCCAAAACTGTATAAGCCTTTGGCATGAGGTATAATAAAATACATTCAGAAATCAAAGCAATACGTTCAAAGAGTATTTTTAAAATATCTAAATGTAAAATTACACCTACTGCTAAGTATGGTTTCTGTACAGAGAAGGGAACACGTTTGCATCTGATTTATGAGCTCTACATCAGGCTTTTCTCTCACATCTCCTGTTGCAGAATCACAGCTGTCTCTATTTATATTGACAAAAGCCACTGCGCAAGACTTCTTCATGTTGAAACTTGGGTTAGGGTTATTTTCCTCAGTAAGAAATGGAATTATTTCCAAGTTTTATTTAAAGTGTGAAGGAGAGAGATAGGTTCAAAAGCTTAGAAAAGGGAAAGCTGGCAAAGAGTGATGACAGGTTTATCATATGATTTGGTTTTTACCTTGTGAAATATCATTTCTGCATGTACCTATTACACAAATTCAATCCAAATGCACTCTTGTGCTTTTGCATGTGTACAAGTCCTTCATTTTCTTCGTTATGCTTGTTTTGTGTGGTAAATATTGCCAACAGGACTTGTATCCACTGATATCATGGCCAGAATGAATAAAATACCTAAAGAGTTTCCATGGCGCAGGTGAAGCTTAAGAAGCAGCCACACGATCACTGTCTCTGTGGGGTTGATCGGCGCGTTGTCAGAGACACGCTGAAGCATTCAAGACTTCTCCGAGACATACACAGCTTTATACACATAGTACACTGTATCCTGCCCATCTAGGATACGCTCACGTTTTTATGAAATGTGCCCTGAAGTTGTTTGAGTGGAAAAGCTCTGTTTCTGCCTCTGGAAGCAAAGGGACTCTGAAGCACTGTAGGATCATGACTTTGAACTGCTAATTTACTTTCAGAGTGGTGGAGTTCTACAGGAGCCAGCGGGATGCAATGCTCGTGGCTGCTGACAAGTGGTTAAAAGGTCAGTGAGTGCAACACAGCTAATGACTGGGATTTTTTTTCTAGCTATTCATCATCTTTGTGCTCAAGAAAAATCACTGAGGTAACAGGTAAGCACTATAAGCTAATCAATGACATTAAATATGAAGCTTAGGACAAATCTAGTGCTGCTGTTTTCATGCTTTTCTGGTGGGACATGATGAGAAAAAAGCTCACCACACTAAATGTATAAAGCAGTTTCACAAAGACCATGTATTTCACTCCACTATGGTTATGTTTGCTTCTTATGTTTAAAATCCCTGTCTTTAAAATCTCTCTGATGTAGCCACATTTAGTGGCCATAATTTTAAAAAAATTGATTAACGATGGATATAGCAGTAGTGGTAATATTTTTTGGTCAGAAATCAATTCAAAGTGTCCCGTTTTGTTGTTAATCATGGAGCATCGAAAGAATTTGATCAACAATAATGCAATTACATTTAATCACTCAGTTCTTTTAGTCAAAGTAGAATCAGCAATAACTGCTCAAGACCTGCCCACTGAGCTTAGATGATACTTCCTTGGGACATGAGTACTTGGGCACCACACAATCATCAATGCACTTTTTTTTGCGAATTCCAGGCTTTTAGATACAAAGTATTTCTTTTTCTACATGGCTTATGAACGACCCTGGGTTGTTGGCCTAGGTAGGCACTCTTTGTCTCAATTCCCCAAGTATAAAAACAGTGTAAACACTGGTCTGCCTTAAAGTGTGTTGTGAGACTCATGTAAAAGACTATACTAGAAAATAGGAAGACCTTAATAGGAGCCATAATATTATGGAAAACAGACCTTTATTTTGTAGATATGTAATGGTTAAATGCATTGAGGAAGAGCTGGAGAAGATGTCTGTTTCTTCAAAAATATGTCCCAAAGCAGATAAAGAATTCTAGGTAAAGAGAAGGTATACAGTAAGTCTGCATATATAACTTCAGACACAAATCTCTAAGCATTCCCATCCTCCTACCTACTAGGCTCTCATTTTCTTTGGGGAAAAAACCTATGATTATTGTAACTTAAAAGAGTTTTGAGCTTTGCTATACTTAAAATACTGTTGATAGTCAGTGTGATATTAGGAGAAACTGCATCAGAGAAATTATTTTAGATTGTTTACTTGATCTGAAAGTAATCACCAAATAGAGTTTGCCAGTGTCTGGGATTTCTGTAATTCAGAGCAGTCACTTTCACAGAAGGTATTGAGGATACCAGCACAAGTGCAGTAAGCCCACACAAATTTGATTAGGACTGCTTCAGACTTGGCAAGTGACATCCTGGCCTTGTGGCCCAGGTTCCCTTTATGTTCATCAGAGCGACAAATCTATAACATCACTGAATCTGTAATGTATCAGGGTCAGAGGTTTCTTTCCTGATTCCCTTCTTTTCTGTGTGTCTCTCTCTCCCCCACCCCAGACTTGGCAGAGTGGTACCCTCCTGCTGCTGGCATGTTCCTGTGGATCAAAATTAAAGGTGTTTCTGACACACAGCAGCTGATCATGGAAAAAGCTTTGCAGAAAGAGGTATGACCTATGGTTTCATGGCGTATGACGTTAGGGTGAAATGAGGCAAGAGTACAATACATCTACCCTATCTATCCGCACACGGGCGCACACATAAAAAAGCAGGGGAACTTGCTGTGCGCCATCGGTGAGTCTCCAGGTCGGTCTTTGTCTCACAGTGACCCGTAAATAAAATATTTTCATGTCTTTAATCAGATGTTGATATTTAATCAGCTCGCTTAAATTTGAACCATGATAACACACAGTACGATGTCATGTATACTATAAATAATATGAATATATGTACCTGTATGAATGATGGCTGTCCACTATTCTCTTTTCAGTAAGAGAAATTACGTGTGATTTCATTTCTACAGTTTATAAGAGCCAGCACTGTGTATTGAGTAAACTACATCCCACCTCACTGGTGCTTCTAAACACTGATGCTAAGTTGGACCTGGTAACCCGCCAGCCTGGGTAACCAAAACCTTTGATTTTGTTATTAAAACCCTGATTTCAGGTTGCATGTTTTTGGCTTCTCATTTTGATGAGAAGAAATCTGTTAAGCCATGTTCAGATGCCAGTGTTTCAGCAGTAAGCTTTCTCAAATTCAATGTCATGTAGTGTTTTAATGCTGTAGTAGAAGTGGTGATAACTGGGTGGCGAATCAATTCTTCTTAGGTGTTACTTGTTCCTGGAGGAGCATTCAATGTCGACAGCTCAGAGCCTAGTTCTTACGTCAGAGCCTCCTTCTCTCTTTCTTCTCCAGCTCAGATGGATCTGGTGAGATTTTTTTTTTCTCCCCATTTTTATCAATAATAATGCCCCTTTTTTTACTTACTTCTTATGTATTTTCTTGAATGTTAGTGTGGGGTTTTTGTTGTATTTAGGTGATTAAGCAGTATTAGCTGATTCTTAGGTGAGATACACATATCCAAATGACTTGAAAGGTACCAAATTTTTAGGGCCACTTCACATTTTTCTGTGTATCTCATACATGTGGAGTCTCACACTTATTCCTCCCAGACATGATTCATTAAGGTTTTACGGAAGTCTGAGTTAAGTTTTGCTGTTTGCCTTAGCATTAGCAGGCATCACACATCTTTTATTCTCCAGACTTTCCATTCCTGAGATTGAATTACCTGCTTTCTTTTGTGGGTGTAATCAATCCTTTATAAGAAAGAATATTGTTTTTCTTTGATACAGCTGGCATATATGCTGTATTTCTTTCCTCAGGAACTAATCTTCTGTGTATTTTGGGAATATTTTGGCTGGTTTTTGGCTTTATCTGTAAAATTAGTGGGAAGAAAGATAGGACACATTTATTTGTGCAGATTTAATAGTCACGATTCAGGTGTTTGAAACTGTTCAGTGTTTGTTGTACTTCATTCATTTGTGAAGGTTTGTAACAGATTTCTTCTGTATTTCTTCCTTCTTCTTTGTAGAAGTAATTCGTAACCATACTATTAACAGTCAAACTGTAACTTTTATGTGCTTCCCAACTCAACTGTCTTCCTTTTCTTTCTCCTTTAGAGCCTCTAGGCCCCTGTATTAAAAGAGACACTCTTCCAGAAATCACTAATTGTATTAAAAGTACAACTGTTTTGCTGCATCTGAACTCTGATTAACCTTTGAACATTAATGTATGTATTTTTCGCTTTCTGAAAGCTCTGCCTTTTTTGTCTTAGAGAACTGGAAGTTTTGTCCAGTCAAAGCCCATACAGGTTGTTACAGAAGGAAGACAAGAGAATATCAGCAGTTTTTTACAGTATAAAATACGGAGTTTGTACACAGTTAGGGTAATTTTAGTACCTTTATAGGTTTGGTGTGTTGCCCATTAAAATAATGCAGGAATACAAACATGAACCACGTTTGTGTCATTGCAGGCCTTCAAGAGACTGGCTGACCTTATAAAAGAAGCTTTATGAAGAAGCTAAATAGAGCTCTTGGAGCAATCAAAATCGACTCTGGAAAATATCTGTTAACATTTGGATTTTATCAGAACACTTTAAAAGCAAGCACAATGCAGTGGATGTTTCCTTAGATCATTTCAGCTAGAAGCAAAAAAGTGAAAGATTGAAAAACAATTTGCCTAATTTTCTGACAGGACATCACCTTATTAGATTTATTCCAGTCTGGAAACATTTAAAATACTCAATGTTCTGTTTGCCATCAAAACCATGATTTTATTAAAATTGAACTGATTTTTGTTCTGGCTTTTGTCTTCCATTTGGGTTGGGAAAGAGGGAAATCAGTTATTTAAGTTGCACCTGAGGTGGTTTTAGCCTAGTTATTTAAGAAGTTGCACCTGAGGTGGTTTTAGCCATTATTACTTAATCTCAAGTGATAACATTCATCCAACACCTTATGTTGGAATTGGTTTTGTGTGTTACTTTCCTTTTTGCCCTGCTATATGGCATCTAGTTTTCAAGATTTGAAGATCAGTGTTTCATTTTACTAGAGTTTTGATAGATAAAACTGGTGTAAGGATCTTAAAAATTTGAAACCAATCCAGGAAAATTTTGCTGTGATTATAGACAAAACTATTTGGCCTAAGGTCCCTCGCAGTTTGGGTTTTTCAGCTCATTCTCTAATCTGTAAAGGGTTTTCTGATTGCTGCCTTCCCCTTCAGTCTGTGAAAAATTACTCTACAGCTGCCTTCGAAAATCTTTGGTGTGCAGAGGCGTGTGGATGTGCTAACAGACCTGCTCCCTGCTCTTCGTTCATCAGACGTGTATTTGAACAGGGCGCGTTAAGTAACTGAACCGGGGACACAGCAGAATGAACAGTACCCTGACACTGCCAGATGTACCGAGCGAGCAAAGAGAAAAAAGAAACGGTTTGATCTCTAACCCCTGGGTCATTATCATCCCAAACATTTCATACTTGGCCACATGTACAAAGCCTTCCGAAAGTTTGAGCTGTGCAGATTGTCCAAGGCTTCCCATTTTGGTTAGTGACAAGTTTTATTTACTTTTTAGATTGAAGTGCTGTAGTTTTCCACCAAGAGCAAGTGGTTGTTTCTTGATGTGCAAGTGTTCAGAATTTCAAAGTAAAGACGTTTTTAAAGATCCAGCCAATCCTATAGCAGCTCAGGTAACCCAACCAAATATGGGTGAGGCACAACCTTGCTTCATTGGAAGTTTCACAAGAGTAATGGATTTAGCAGTAACCATAATTTTCATTTGCTCTTGTCCCTCCAGATACAAATAGCCTGTGTGCCTTTCCCAGCATCTGTCCTACCATCAGGATCATTACGAGGGGATCAAGTGCACCCTCAGTAAGTTTGCAGACCACACCAAGTTGGGTGGGAGTGTTGTTCTGCCTGAGGGATCCCGAGGGACCTGGACAGGCTGGATGGGTGGGCCAAGGCCAACTGTATGAGGTTCAACAAGACCAAGTGCTGGGTCCTGCGCTTCAGTCACTATAACCCCATGCAGTGCCACGGGCTGGGGGATGAGTGGCTGGAAAGCTGTCAGGCAGAAATGAACCTGGGGGTGTTGGGGGACAGTTGTCTGACTGTGAGCCAGCGTCTGCCCAGGTCGCCAAGAAGCCAACGGCATCCTGGTCTGCATCAGGGACAGTGTGGTCAGCAGGAGCAGGGCAGGGATTGTGCCCCTGTACCAGGCACTGGTGAGGCTGCACCTTGAATACTGTGTCCAGTTTTGGGCCCCTCACTCCAAGAAAGACACTGAGGTGCTGGAGCGTGTCCAGAGAAGGGCAGTGGAGCTGGGGAAGGGTCTGGAGCACAGTTCCTGTGAGGAGCAGCTGAGGGAACTGGGGTGT